GCATAGTTGAACTAGAAATTCTCAAACACTTCAAATTATACTAAAAACATTTATTGGACAGTTAAAAACCTATGCTTGTGCTTGTATCAAATGATTCAAAAATTTTCCCTATTCTTCCCTAATTTCCTTTTTAAATAATTTTTGTCCTTAGATCTTTTAGTCAAGTGAAAATCAGACCAATTACAATTGACAGACCAATTACAATTTGTAGACCAATGATATCATTTCCATTTTGCAAAGGAGACAAAAGCCAAGTCCACACCAGTCTCTCCGTCAGACCTTCGCTGACCACGTGGACCTATACTAATGGTATACTAATGGTACTAATGCCCACATTTGACTTGTTCATCAGGTATACATAGCCTTGCCACCTTTCTTCTTTATTCTTCAAGTCATCATCCCAATTACTTAAAATTTATATTTTACTGAAATTATCTTAAGTATTGATAGATGTTGACAAATTTTTTCAGTGAAGGACCAGATAGTAAATATGTTAGGCTCTTGCCAGATATCTGGTCCCTGTTCCAAGTACTCAACCCTGCTACTATAGTGTGAAGCAGTCACAGACAACACCTGAAAGAACGACTGTGGCTGTATTCTCACAAAACTTTATGGGCCCTGAAATTTGTATTTCATATAATTTTCATTTCATAATTTTCACCAAAAAATATGTTTTGATATTTTTCACATATCAAGAAACCCATTTGTCCACTCAAGGGTCATACAAAAACAGGCCAGTTTGCTGATTCTGATCTAGGCTACTAAAATTGTGTCAACAATTCTGCATTCCCACAGGCCTACAGTAGTAAATATCTGTGGATGGATCCCATTTATCTTTTTCTTTCTATTCTGAAGGAAGTTCTGGAACACTACAACATGTCTTTGAAATACCTAGACATCTAATTAACACATCAAACTGCATATGTTTAACTAGTTGTTCCAAGGGTGATATGAGAGCTTCTGGATTAATTAAAATTCTCTTTCTGAAAGAAAGATAACAATCTGGCAGGGCGGCGTGGCTCACACCTGTAATCCCAGGACTTTGGGAGACAGAGGCGAGAGGATTGCCTGAGTCCAGGGGTTCAAGACTAGCCTGGGCAATATGGCAAGACCTTATCCCTACAATAAATCAAAAGATTAGCTGGGCATGGTGGCACACACAGGTCACGGGGTAAAAGCTGTAGAGACCCAAGCCCTGAAAAGTTGCAGCTATGGTTAGAATTTAATGAATCTGTTGTTTCTGGGTTTGCTTTATGCCAATAGAAGGCAACTGGTCATCTTCATGTCCTGGCCCCAGTGGGGGGGTGGGGGGGAAACTGCCCCACAAGGCTAATAAACATATTATCCCTTAAAGAACAGGCCTAGGAGACTGCATGGATACAAAAGTAGATGTTGAAGACAACAGGAGTGGCTCCAATCTCTAAGGACCCCACCTCTCCCATATCTTCCTCCTAAACTACCTCCATGAGGGTTCACTGCTAGGAACTAGTAGCTGATAGCCAAGGGACTTGCTTTACAGGTGGCATCTATTGTAAAGCCTAAGAATAATATTTGAGATATTTTTTAGATTGTGTACTTTGAAAGACCTGAGGCCCCTCTGGGCCCAGAACAAATACCAGGATGCTGGCAACACCAGTCCTGTGATGCCACCCCCCGAGAAGTCGGCTCTATGGCCTGAAGTCAATTTTGACATCCTCATGACATCATAAACCAGTCAGCAGCCCCCATACCCCTGCCTGCCAAATTTCCTTAAAAAACAATAGCCTCTGAATTCTCAGGGAGGCAGATTTAAGAACTATTTCCCATCTTCCTTGCCCAGCTGCTTTGTGATATGAAACTCTTTCTCCACTGTAATGGTTGCAACAATCTTGGTTTTTCTGGGAAGTGGGCATAAGAACCTAGTCAGGCTATAACAATCAGACCTGTGCTTTCATTGAATTTTCACATTTACCATATATGTATGATGAGGCCATCAACAAGACTCCAGACTAGCTCCAGATGTTGTGTAGAAGGCACCCTAGAAGGCAGGATATTACTAGGCTGGTGTGCAATCATCCTATTGTTTAAAGACCCTACACTGAAAGACTTCATAATATGCAAGATTGTTTCCTTGACTATAGACCCCAATGACACACTCCCCACAATTAGAGTCTGTATTCATGAAGTATTCCATAGAGCTTTCTTGATCCAGAAAAATGTTTTAAAGTTTTCCTCTTAGAGAAAATTAAAAAGTGTGTGAGAGTTACTGCCATAGGAAGGACCAAACAATTGGGTCTCTGTGGCTTTGGGGGTCTGGGTCATCCAGGCTTGTAATCAACTGGCATAGAATCTGGCAGGATGAATCAGTCTAGCAGCTGACAAAATGATGAGGAAGGGCCGCCCAAACTGAGGGTAATTCAAAAAGGCTTTCAGACAGCTATTTAACATGTGTCTTATGAGCTTTATTTAAATTTGATGAGACAGCCACCAAATAGTTCCTTCAAGCTTTAAAATCTCCCTTCGGATCTGCCAATCTTTAGAAGAGAAAGGGAAGCTATGAGGAACAAGTGGAATCTTCAATCCTAGGAATCCTGCACAGCTATGTGCCACATACAAGTTCTCTAGTACATAAACTTGTCTGATCCCACGTAGGCCCTGCCTAGAACAACAGCAAAATGTAGCCCGGGGCAGGTTGAGGTTACTGCTGAATTCTCAGCAAGGTAAGCACAGCATGGAACTCTCAATTTATAGCAAAAACAAATCACAAAAAACTGATATAATTTTACCAATAATTCCAGCTTCATCATGCAGTCTATTACAAAAGTGACTTGACTTCCCTAGGCAACCTGTGAGGAAGTTACTAAGCAATAAAATACAATAACTAGGGAGAAAAAGTCATAATCAGTTCAAAAAGTAGCCGCTACTAGATAACTAAAAGCTGGCTCTATCTGCCACTGTATGGTGACAGCGTCAGACACTGGAATAGAGAAACACATAAAAAGGAAATCCATCCAACCTAGAGTCCCTTCTCCATACAGCAGCCAGGGAGTCTTTTAAAAAGGAAGTCAAAGCACAATCCTTTGCTCAAACCCCTCTGTTGTGGATTAAATTGTATCCCTCAAAAAGATGTTGAAGTCCTAACTCCTGGTAACTATGAATGTGACCTTATTTGGAAATAGTATCTATGAAGATGAAATCAAGTTAAGATGAGGTCATACTGCATTAGATTGGGCCCCAATTCAATGACTGATGTCCTTTTAGGTCATGTGAAGACAGACACGTAGGGAGAAGACAGTCATGTGATGAGGCAGAGATTAAAATTATGCTGTGGTGGGCATGGTTGCTCATGCCTGTAATCACAGCACTTTGGGAAGAGATGAAAGGATTACCAGAGCTCAAGGGTTCAAGACCAGCCTGAGCATCATGGCAAGACTTCATCTCTATGATAAATAAAAAAATCAGCTGGGCATGATGGCACATGCCTGTGGTTCCAGCTACTTGGAAGACTGAGGCAGAAGGATCACCTGAGCCCAACAGGTCAAGGCTGCAGTGGCCGTGAGCATGTCACTGCACTCCAGCCTGGGAGACAGAGTGAGGCTCCAACTCAAAAAATATTCAAAATTAAAAAAAACAAAAACAAAAACAGGTATCTTGGAACTACACTGCCACAAGCTAAAGAATATCAAAGATTAGAGACCACTGCCAGAAACTAGAAGAGGCAAGGAAGGATTCTTCCTAGAGCCTTCAGAAGGAACAAGGCCCTGCCAACACTATGATTTCAGACTCTCAGTTCTGATTTTGGTTTTCCGGAAATGTGAGAGAATGAATTTCTGTTGTTTGAAGCCACTCGGTTTGTGGCACTTTTTAATGGCAGCCCTAGGAAAGGTATATTAAGCCCTCCAGTGGCTTTCCCATCGTCTGCCTTCGCACTTAGATGTCCTCTGACTTCACTGCTTTCAGCTCTTTCTGCTCCCTGACTAGTTATTACACACTGGTCTCCTGGCTGGTCCCCAAACATACCATGAACCTGCCCACCATGGGCCTTGCCTGTGGTAGGCTGAGACTGTCTCAGAACTTCACAGATGCCATTCCCTCTGTGGACGGGTTCCTTCCCCAGGTATCTAAAAGGCTTTCTCCCTCGATCCTCCGTCAGGTCTCTGCTCAAGTCACTATCGCTAATGTGCTCTTTCACATTTCCTATCCTCACCCCATATTGCCCCTTCCCCTGCTTTATTTTTTTCCACAGTACTTAACACAAGTTGACATACACATTTTTCTCAACCCTTAAAAGGTTTGTCTTCCTCCATGTTAGCTCAGTGACAGCAGAACTTCACTGCTGAACCACAGTACACTCTATTTAGTGAATAAACAAATGAATTCTATCGGGACAGGTGAAATTTTACCAAACTGGCTGTGTTTCTACTAAAACAGGTTTCTACTAATTAAGTGGGACAGCAGAGGTTTTTGCAACTGAAGGGCAGGCTTAAAGCCGGACTTTGAGGGTCTGAAAGAGAATCCATGTGCCAGGTTTTCTAAGGCAGATTGAAGGGCTCACCACCAGCCCTATGTGGAAGTGGGTGGCATGAGCAACTCTGAAACAGCCTCTTAAGACTCCTCCCTATCAAAAAAAAAAAGCCAACTCTTACCTATAATTTTTGTCTCCAGTCACTTACCGGTAGATAGCAACTTATCCTGAGGAATTTGTGAAGCCAATTCCAAACATAACCCCACCACCTCATTACTATTCATATCTTTATTTTTTAGAGGCTGAGAAGAGGGCCCTGTAGGAATATCTGATAATGACAACCTCATTAATGCACCAACTCCACTCAGGGAAGAAAGTCTCTGATCACATGCCTTAAAAAAACCAAAAACAAAAACCTTTCAAATAAGGCAGGAGCTTTAAAACAGCTGTAAGGAGACAATCCAAATCTTTTAAGGTGGTCCTTTTCTCTTTCCTCCATTTCCATTTTTCAAAACCTTAAAAACAAAAGAGACAGAAAATCGAAATTTTTCTTTACCTTGGGTTCTGACCCCAGGTCCTGCCAATCCCAGTGATGAATCACAGGATTCCTTGAGAGGTGATCTGATTGGGGTCTCAGCTTCAGGGGTCTCAAAATTACCTTCAGAATCCGAGCTGCCAAGGAGGAAAAATGAGGAATTACCACTTTCAACGGTATTTCCGACACCTTTTAAAATCTACATGTCCACAAAGGCTAAAAAGTCCAGCATGTGTGTCTAACTGTACAATCAACTGATCCTTAGCACACTCTGACCTTTGGGGGGCTGCTGTGGCTTTTTAGCAAGGCCCTCCTTGGGTTTCTCTCAGTCTAGCAACCTGTCTCTGAAATCTCCATTCTCTGGAGCTTTCCTCCAGCACCATTAATTTTTGAGGTCATCCTTCCCTCTGACATATCCCCAAAAAATGCGCTTTTCCAACGACTCCTTTTCTCACAGGAATCCTTTCCCAGAGGCTTAAAAATAGTGGTCCCACCCCCCAAATTAAGCCAATTCTAGCATTCCTTTTTGCTCCCTAGGCCTCTACCTGTTTGGAACTCACTCGGTCAGAGACTAAGAATGCTATCACCTGCCTTCCGCGATCACAAGGGTGACAGCTCAGCAGAGACCACCATTTCCCACCAGCTGCCAGGGGCCTGTCATCACGCGACCTTCTTTACCGCGGCTGCATTTTTGGGACACAGTAGGGCCCGGGGAGCGACTTACACCCCGCAGGAGGGCTCTGAGTTGCACCGGGTGTGATCACCACTGTCCCTGTGTGTGTGGGTGGG